TTGAAAAACGTTTTGAGTTTGTGGTTTGTTTTTAGTAACAAACTAGTAAGAGACGGAGAAAGTGAGCATGTTCGAAGGACCAGAGGAAGGAAACGAACCAACGTAAATGGAAGATGAGTATCTACAAATCACGTAAACTATATTATAGAAAAAAGATGTAATTTTTTTACTTTGAAAGTACAAATAATAATGTAACCGACAAACATAAGAAGAGAAGAAAAAGGGGGAGGTGAGAGGAAATGAGAAGATGGATGTCCTCCAAGGAAGAAGCGAAGAAATGCTGTGTATAGTTTAAACGCATTTTTAAAAATGCTTCCAATTTCTAAAATTTAGCACTAACTTCTCTCAAGGGATCTTTTAGGAAATAAAAACTCTCAGTCAACAACCCTTTGTTCTCAGTTCAGCAGCCCGTTCGTTCCATGTGTGTCCCGTGCCAGCCCTGAGCTGGGTGGCGCTGCCGGGAGGAGGCCGGGAGCCGCGGGGAGGCTGGGAGGGCCGGGAGGCCCGGGAGCCGCGGGGCACGGGCAGAGTGAGGCGAGGGCCTGGCGGGCGCGGGGCAGGCAGGGGCCAGTGTCACGACGGGCCTGACGTCACCTCGCTAAGGAATTCTGCCTTTTCCTACGGCAGGGCGGGCGCGGGCGGGTGTAGGATCTTCATGAAGATGGAGACAGAATCCTGTGCGTGCTTCCCGCACGGCCCTCTGGCCGCGGGTCGCTGGGAGTGCAGGCCCACACGCGCACTTTATAGAGATCATTTTGCCACTTTGGCTGTACCGCGTTTAAAAGCCTCCTTAAGCATCTTGCTTTTACCTTTTATTTTAAAAAAACAAAGTCTCTTTAAGCAACAGGATTTAGAGACACTTTATCAGCACGATCTTATGAAGCTAGACTATGCTCAGGATTAACCCGATCTTTCCTTCACATTTTCAGATTCTTAAACAATACTTTGGTAAGTACTTTAAGTATAAGAATCACTGTAGCGATTCCTCTTCATGATTAAACCCAGTGCTAAATAGTTCCCTCCGCATCCTCAGAGAAGCCAGGACAAGGCACCGGCCGGGAGCTACGGGATTTCGACTGTGCCCTGCACACCGCAGCGGAGCCACACGGAGAACAGCAGGCCGCCTCCGAGCCGTGTGGTGTAGACCTGCAGGGAAGGGCTGGGCGAGCTTACACTCCCCCGCCACTCCCATCACTCCAAAGAAAGGTGGCCACTGAGTCCTGTGTTTTAAGGTGTCCAAGGAAGGAAATCTCACATTCTCTCAAAGTCAGTACTTAATAACCCTCATTTTTTATTATTGAATTATTTTTATGGAAATGGGATGTATTTCCTCACTGTATTCTATCCCTTTTCCTTATCTCCCTCGGGGCTCAGCTGCCAAATCTTTTTCTCACCGTAACCTCCGAGGTAATCAATGCTGGTACATCACACTGTTGCTTTCTTTTTTCCAGCCTAAATAGTCCTAGCTCTTTAATGCACCTTCAAAGGTCCAATTTTCCAAACCTTTGGATCTTGATCTTTTATAAAATGGCATCGTCCAGTGTTGCGCAGAATTCAATAACAGAAGCAAACATACACGAAGATCAGAGTGGTAGAATTATATCCCGGGTATGAAGATAACAATCCTATAAATATAATCCAATAATACCATCGTGTTTCCCATAATGACAGATTCATTTTTATTCTGCTTGTACTCTGCTGTAAGCCCCCTGTACAAAGTCACCGTGGATTTGGAAGTATGTGCGCCCACGTACAGAGATAATACTTAGAGGTGTGACTGCATTTGAAAAGGGTTCTGATCACACTTTCACTTTGTGTTGCTGTGGCAGACACTGTGAGCCGCTGCTAAAATGACATGACCCCTTCTAATTTTGGGGGGTCAACACCCAACTCTTCATGGGGTCCCCACTCCTTCTCAGCTCCAGAGGGTGAATCTCCCTCCGAGTCAATCGGCAGTCTCCAATCCTGCTGATCAGTGTAAGAGTCTGCGTGGACCAGCTCCGGATGAGGGGAAGTGAGGCCGGGTCCTCGGGGGATCGTTCCTTTCGCATCACTCCAGAGAAGTACCCATGGGAGAGACGCTGTCTTCACCGGGTATTATTAGGAGGGGTGTGCTGTTCGGAGCTGCCACAACCATCTTCTAGACACCAAGGGTGAAGGCTGAGAGATAAAGGCAAAGATCCCCAGGGTGGCCGGTAGCTGCCTGGTTCACCAGCCCTGGGCTCCTTGTTCTGGGAAATAATAAATTGCTTTGCTGTTTTGTGGTTTTCAAAATGTCCCAGATAAGCATCATCACCCAGAAATTCTGGAAAATGCAGGTTCTTGGCCCCCACCTCAGACCTGCTGAAAAGGCATGTAGGAGTGGAGCCCAGCAAGCTGTCTTACCCAGCACCCCCATAATTCTGATAAGCCCCAGTGTTTGAGAACTACTGGTTTGAGCTTGCCATAGTATGAGACTTTGTGTCTCCCCGCCTTTATATGTTAAAATTCTAATTCCCAAGGTGAGGGTATTAGGAGGTCAGGCCTTTGGGAGGTGATTAGGTCACGAGGGCAGAGCTGTCATGAATGGGATTAGCGCCCTTATAAAAGGGACCCCAGAGAGCCAGCTCACACCTCCCAGCAGATGAGGACACAGCGAGAAGGTGCCATCTATGAACCAGAAAGTAGGCCCTCACCAGACACCAAATATGCCAGCACCTTGTTCTGGGACTTCTCAGCTTCCAGAACTGTGAGAAAAACAAAATGTGGTTTATAAGCCACCCAGTCTACGGCATTTTGTTATAGCAGCTGGAACAAACTAAAACCCATTGGTTTGGGGTTTCTATTACTTGCAGCTAAATGTGTCCTAATTAGCATAGCCTTTATTGTATTTTATGTATGTTCTCTAGAAAAATCTATCAATCAGTGTGATGTTCTGTTCTATGTCAATGTCATCTGAGAACTGACATGTCGTAGACAGAAGGTCTGGAGGGACAGGAGCACGTTGTATGTTCCCTGGTCAGTGCCAGGGGCCACCCAGGTAGCCTGGCAAGGAGTTGGGGTATGTTTCTTAAGGTGTGTGTAATTTTGGTAAATATGTAGAGCTTTTCAAGTTCCTAACTGAAAGGAGGGGATTCTGAAATAGAGAAAAAGAAAACATAGGGGGTAAAGACTCAGACGGAGCTTATGTCAGAGCAGCAGAGTTCCTATAGTGGGACAGGAGTCTCACGTGCAGCAGAAAGGCCGAGAGCAACCTGGGAGCACAGGTGGGTTCGAGGAAAGTAGGCCCAGCATGAAATTAAAAAGGCACTAATGAAAAGCAGACAGGAAACTGCCAAACTACTATTTAGGGTAATCTGGAGGGGAAAAAAGCTGAAGACATAAGAGGAGAGACCCAAGTAGAAGAGTCAAAATCTAAAAGGAGACCCTAACAGGATGCTTAGTTTTCGAATTGTCACTGCATTAGGCTGTCTATGTCCTGTATGGCTCACTGCCAAAGCAAGAGTTACGAGCATCAGATTTACTCAGTTGTATAATCCCAAGAAATGCTACTGGGGCAATGACAGGGAAGAGACACTGCACACTCTTAAAGGCAAATCATCCTCCCCTTCCCCTTCAACTGGAGTCGCCAGAAAGTTTCTATGACAAGTACGTGCTCTAGCTAGCTCCACTCACATGCCAATGCACCCAGTCAATTCACAGATAAATGCACTGACTAGTGAACAATCTGTCTGGTCTATTGAGCAATATTTAAGGTGGGTTTGAGGAAGGACTAGCTATGACCCTGTAGGCCAGCTCAAGGACTGGCCTCCAATATCATGATAGTACCACAAGCTAACACACACCTCCAAGCTGCCAGGGCCATCAGTGGGTCAAACTTCCAAAATCAATGCAGTGGGATCTTTATATTTCATCTTGTTTTGTCATGTAACACTTAACATTTTTCTAAAAGCCTCTAAATTGGTTCTGAGCGTATCCAGGATCTACAGGTCTTTGAAACAGCTCCACGTCCACCTGCACGCACTTTACCTACAATGGCTCCTTCAGGTAGGGCGTTTGCCCCTCCTGCCTCATATGACGACAGGCATCATTTGCCCTTTCATCGTTAAGCAGTGAGCAGGTTTCAGGGCTGTCACCCCCTCAAGACCAGGCCACCTACTCTCTTTGACTAGCAGGCTCCCTGGAAGAACCCACTGAGGCACGGAGACGCACGTGGATGCAGGTCTGTGGCTTGTGCAGCAGCCATCAGCGTCCCAAGTCCCCACATGCCGGAGTGTGAGCCGGTCTGGCTGAGTTAAAATCATCATTTAAAATTCACCTTCCAAATTGCTCTGATTTTTTTTGTTTAAGTGACGACACATACGTTAGTACATGACTATAATTTTAGGGCTAAGTTGGATGCATAGAAAAGTATTTCAAACAAGGAGGCAGAATTATCCTGGATAAACATCAGCAGGCATCAGTTTTATATTTTCTGCTTCCTGAATTGCATCTCCTGGATCTGATGGTTTTATTTCTTTGCATTCTTGAACGACACCTTGGGATATCTTCTGTGTGCATGTCAGGGAGGGACACAGAGGAGTGATTACCCCGCTGGTGTGACGCTGTGCCTGCCAGCATGGACAGTGTGCCCTCAGTCTCCTCATCTAGCCTCTGCATCTCAGTGTCCTCATCTAGAAAATGAGGATGGCAATTCCCACCTCCCAAGGTTGTTATGCGCTATGAAGGCGTGAATATTTGCAAAGCATTTAGAAAAGCATCCAGCACATCATAAGGACTCTGTTTTGAAAAGTAAACAAAATGTTCCTTTTTGTTTTTACAACACATTTATTTATCATGACTTTTGTGATCTGAGGGGGGGGGGAGATAATTTTCTGGTTTCCAGAATAAAAGTTTTAAAATTAAAAGGAATCAAAGTACTTTTTGGCACCTAATATTTCTGCATTTATTCCCAAACTCTAAAAGTCGACTGGCTTTATGTTAAATTCAGAATCCATACAGAAAAAGATCTTCAAACTTTATTCATTTCATAAATAATGTATTTTATTTTATTGCATATGGCTATTAAGGAGGGCATCCATGATCAATACAGACTAAATACAATGCACTATTCTAGTCCAGTTTATTCTTGTCCCCAGCAGCATCACATCGACCCCTATATACAGCGTGTACAGTGGAAGACAGAGCAAGATAAGTTAAGTCTCTTGTCATATCACAATAGCAAGAAATATATTTAACATCTCGATATCCAGAAACAATACGTACCCAAAAAGAAAACACTGTTTAATAACTGTTAAAGTTTATATAGCAAAAAATATTTTAAATTTAAGGTTAAGTCAGGCAAAATGTACAAAGACCCAATATACATCGTGAAGTTTTAGCAAACATAACATTTATACATTTTGGTTCCATTCTGTAAACTAAATTAAAAATGTAAATATTGCATATGCCTTTTTTTTGAAATGTACAGGATAGAAGAAAATTTTGTGTATTACCCACTTTTTATTTTGCTTGTTTTAAATTGCAGTGTGAACATGAACCATTGGTATAGTGTCATGACTACCCTAAGTTCAGAGGGCTAGTTAAATACATGTCAATTCACTGTATTCAGCAGGGTCCATATTCAGTCCTATTGTACCTGGGGGGGGGCGGGGGGAGGAGGAGTTACAAAGCAAATACCACCCATCGATTCCTATTCCCAAAACTAGATAAAAACTTTAGGACATTTTATACATCTTAATAAACTATATCATACACTGAAACTGAACTGACCTTCAAACTAATATCGTATGGCCTATGCACTGCTGTGATGTGTGATTTCAGAAAAGTAAAACCTTAAAAATGTTCAGGGGATCGCTTTACATTCAACTTTGTCTTGCAATACAATCCTCTGTTCTAAAGTTCAGCATGGAAGCAGGAAGACTTTTGCATTGCCATTAAATATACTTTTAAGACATTGAATTTTTGGTCTTCCTCTAAAAAAGCCTCATTAATGCATTATTCTATAGTGATATATATCTATATATTTATATATATTTTTCTCAAAAGAAAAAAAAACCCAACAACTCACATCTCCAATGGATTAGTTAACCTCTCCACTGACTATCAGAGGAGACAGGCACTGGGGTGCCCCACGGGGGAGAGGCCACGGCTCTCCGGCCACGTGTCCAGGGAGCAGCGAGATGGCAGAGCACTCTGCCCGCCAAGTTCAGCAGTTTTAGGTGACATCTGCAATTAACTGCCACAACACTGATATTTTCAGAACACTGAAAACATAAAACAAGGGTAGTCTTGTCAGGATTGTTTTTGACAAGTAACATGTACTGCGAGATTGTTTTTCTTCTTTTTCTTTTTCCATTAATATCACAGGGGCATAAATGCCTCTTTGTATCACTTCATTTATTTTCCTTTCTTTCTTTTTTTTTCTTGTTTTTTTTTGTTTTTTTCTTTTTATTATTTTTTTTTTTTTGTTCAGGGCAGACTTGTTGGCCAACGTAATAGCATTATATTAAAGATAATACATTTTTAAAAATTAAATCTGCCAAACCTGGACCACCCTGGAATTGCTAGCATGCCTACAAGAATTTTTGGTTAAAGAAATGCAAGCCCAAGATTAAGGATAGCAGAGACATTTGAGCTTGTAAATAGGATAAAAGGCTTTTGCAATGTGAAGTACCTACATAAACATCTACATAGAGAAGATTAAACAAGTCTGTTCAAGGTAAAAAGAGATATTCACCCTCCTTCCCAAATCCCTTCCCTCCCACCCACCCCCACTACCCAATACAGTTGATGATTTTCAAAAGTAGGTTTCTTCAGTTACATATCGTAATTATTATTAATCAATCTGTCTTCGAAGTCCAATCCCAAATTTCACTCCTGTTGAGAAACGCCAGCCCCACACTGGGCTCTGTGTGTAAGTAAACATCGCAGGTGCCTGCACTGCAGCCCGACATCAGCGCCTGCTTGGACCAGTTCGACGAGGCCGACGGCCACACTTCAGACCGGGGGCAGAGGTGCACGGGGGTCCCGCGGGCCCCAGCCACGCAAATCCGGCTTTACCTTGAACTGAGGTAGGACTGTGGTAGTCTTGAGGGTAAGCCAGTACATACCAGATTTTACCACTTGACTGGGTATTGGTAGAATCTCCTAGCATGCTGAGGGATACATTTGCTTTGCCAAAGCGAAAGTAAGAAGAAATTAAGACACTGCCCACAATTTAAGGAGGCCAATGAAAACATCCAATTTTCTTGAGAATGACTTCTTCAGCTAATTTTGTTAAAAAAACGAAACAAAACACAAACAGCACAATGATGAATGCCCCATATGGGAACAAGGGAGACAGGCAGGTGACCTTGCCTGGTTGGTTCCTTGTCTAGCATGGCCCGCAGAGGTTTCCAAATGCAGGAACTGCTCGGAGCCAAAAGAAAAACTGTAAGCAGCTTCAGATTGAAAAAATGCTGAGCATCTTCTTTTAACGATGTTCTCTGATGTGTGGCCTCATGGTGAGAAAGCCAGACATATCTTCACTCTGAAAAAGAAAGGAGGGAAGTGAGCAGACTCTCTGAAAACGACCCTCGTAACCTACTTTCACCAGCCAAGTCATCTTCATAAAACTATGCACCGTGAGAAACAAACACGGGCTCATCCTGTTTTCCAGAAACAAGTTCAACGGGTAAACTCTGATTTGGTTTTCCTGGAAGCAGAGCTACCAGGTTCACAGTGAGTTGTCTACAGAGCGAGGCTCGTATTTTCAAGTTAGGGAAAATAGTCACACATGCTCTTGTGAATCATTCTGTCGACGGAGATACAACGGATACAGAGGTGTGATGCCAGCCTTCAAATTGAGCGTCTGTGCGACCTGGGAACTACCATGTTTCCCTGAAAATAAGACCTCCCCATAAAATAAGCCCTAGCAGGATTTCTAAGCATTTGCGCGATAGACGCCCTACCCCGAAAATAAGCCCTGGTGACGGGCGTGGCTGCGCAGCGCATCTGCACACCCATGCATTCCGTCACACAGCCGTACAGACGGGCAGCCCTTCTCATCCGCCCCGTGAGAGCTCTAGTGCTCCACATGAGAGACTGGGGCCAGTGATCTAAAGGAAAAAGAGTCGCAAGAAATTCAGGATGGAATTCGGGGTTTGGAGAGTGATGATGATGTTCCAGAAGAAGACGACTTAACTATATTTGAATAAATGTAGATTGTTGTACCGTACTTAAAAAAATATAACACATCCCCTGAAAATAAGCCCTAGGGTGTCTTCTTAAGGAAAAATAAGTATAAGACCCTGTCCTATTTTCGGTGAAACACCATACCCCTCTCACTCCCTCGTCTTGGCTCTTCCTGTGTTGTGTGGAGCAAACGCAAACCATTGCCTCCCCCCGCCCCAGCGGCCGGAGAGATGACAAGCCAGGACATGTGTTAAAATGCTCTGTCAACTGTCTTTTTCCTATAAATATGTATTATGTTATGAACATGGAAGAACTAACCAGTCTACACTTCTGCCCTCAGACAACTTTGGACTGGATAATCTACCCCCTTTCTAAAAGTGCCCAGGGAGGTAAAAGCTGGCTGTGGTGCCATGCTTGTGGCCACACAGCCCTCAACACGAGGAAGGGTTTCTTCTTGTCCGCCCAGCTGTCATATGTTCCACTTTCGATGATTTATTATGTTGCTGTGGAAAAGGATCAAACTGCTCAAGCTCCTTTAACCTATTTAGTTCCTAACATTTTAAGCATATTTTTACTTGATACACTCCTTCTTTAAGGGATAGAACTGGGAAGATTTTGACATTTCATAGCATGTTGCTTTTTTTTTGTTAAAGCTTCTTGACTTTTTAACCCAAATGGCATATTTTTAATTGTCATCACTCACCACCATGATCGCCACTCAGTCACACGTGTGCACTGGTGTGTCATGCCCTGTCTTAGCCTTTCTTCCTCTGCAGTTGTACTTACACAAACTGCATTTCTGCACACTCTTCTCAAATCACTGAGAATTCTGATCCTGGACTCTCGCCACATTCCTTGGTTTACTTTTTGTGAATCGAATTATTTTCCACCTATCTTGAGCTCAGAAAATGATCCCCGCAAGAAAGAAACTTCCAGTGTGCCCTATAGCTGACTGTAAGTTCCTAAAAGCCACGCCCCACTACAAACTCGAGGCACTGCATCCTGTAGCCAGAAAAAGACAAGTGGCACAGACAGGGTGCTCATCAGCATACAATGCAAATGTGTCACTGCATGCCTTTTTTTTTTTGCATGCCTTATTTAAAAGTTCCCTACAATATGACATTTTGAGGCAGTGCTACTTTATCTTTTTATTTTTTAAAAAGCTTTGTGTCTTTTAACAGGTAAACGATGTTCTGCCAATGAACCTTAAAGGAAACAGGGCCTGGAATTTCCTCCTAAGAAAAGAGCTGTCCTCCAGCTATTTCATTCATTATTGTTGTGATTTTCAATCCCAAGAGATTGTAGTGAGAGAATCTAATTGTTTGCATTCCTTAAGAAACAGGGATTTGCTAAAATCCACCTAGACTTGTGTTTTGCCCTAAAATGAGCTTGCATTTTGTCAGTCAGGCATTAATTATAAGACGAATCCCACGGCCACCCCAGAGCAGGTGACCAAAACCCTGTGAATCCACTTACAGAAAGATTTCTAATCAAAGCTTATTTTATTTTCATACTGACAGTTAGCTAAATGTGGGTAAATTGTCTCATGGTAACCCTAAGTCCATTATCTTGAAAACAGCTAAGCAAGTAAGTTCTTCAATTTCTTAAACCTATATACTTCTCATATAAATGGTGGGTTTATTATTGATGGAAAAAAATTACTTCCCATTTCACTTACAAATTCATGAGGCTACTGACATTTTCACTGTTTTTAAGGATGCTTATTGCTGTGAAACCCAACTCTTATCATTAGATCTCTGTGAGCTCTAATTAAGTCGAACACGTAATTTTATTTTTTGAAGTACAATACAGTTTTCAAAACCTTAATTTCTGAGCATGAGCATTATGCAAGAACATAGCTGATAAACGGAAAGGAAATAATTCATCCATGCATTTATTCATGCAATGACCTTTCGGCAATTTTCTAGTTTAATTCGACTCTGGTGTGGGGCCTCACTGATGACTTGGGTGAAGAAGGCCAACCAAAAAGGGAAAAAAAGGTGTTATCCCTAGAAGATTAATTTGTTCATGGCGAACTGGAAGGATGCCAGAGGGCCTAGCTAAGGTGGACCAGACACAAGACGACCGGCGCTCAGAGATGGGGTGCGGCATCAGCTGTGCAGCGTGTCAAACGCATTTACACACACACACATGTGCATAAGGCAAACACAGGCGGATGCAACTTGGCTCCTGTTAGGTTTACAAAAACAACTGCTTTCTGTGGACACCTCCTGTCCGTGTAAAGGGAGAGACCTGAGACCTGAGGCCTCTGGGTCCCCTCCGGGACCATGGGACTTTGGTTCACACTGCTCAGCAGCCTGCCACCCACAGACCTGCTGCTTTACCACCAGCTGGCTTAAGAACCCTCCCCTTGATGGCTGCAGCTGATTTGGGGTGACAGGTTGGGATGCCTGGAAGTACCTGAACAAATGTAAACAGGATTAGCCACCAGAAACAATCCTTTGTTGAGATGCAAAAGAAAGGAAGCAAGGAAAAGGCTGGCAGTAGCCTTCCAATTGGATCCAGACGACTCAACTTGCCCAGCCATGGCAAAAGGATCTGGATAAAATGGAGACCTAAGAAATATAAACACTCCCTAAGAATGCATGTAGGAAAAAAGGCATCTGTTCTAAAAACCTAACCATGATTTTCTTCATTTCTTATGGAAAGAAGCTGTCTGCCTCAAAGGATGTCTACAGTCTCTGTTTTCCATGTGAGCTGGTGGCAGACTCTTCGTGCCACATATGCTGGTAAGGGCCTGCGCTAGCCTTGGCAAGGAGGGGGCAGGCCTCGGGAAAGACGCCTGCTACACACACCCTGCAGGTGCAGTCGCTCGCACGGGCACTCTGCAGTCCAGGCACAGCACTCAGACACCAAACACCAAGAGGTGGTGCCTCAGGCTCGCGCCTACCTCAGAAGAGCTGTACCCGCCACGCACGTGACAGCCACTCAGCCATCACTCCCGGGCCCAGGAAGAAGGAAGAGAGGCAAGCGACGGAAAATACTCTTGCAGATTTGAACTTGGGAACGAGAGAGCATTTCTGTCTTTTTACTTATTTACTTTTAAAGTAACTTAAATTGGCTGGTTCTCTTATGCAGAGAGCACTTGCCTCTGCTCTGTCTGTGGAGCAGACTTTCTAACTTTCTACAGTTTCTGAATAAATCTCAATTTCACTTTAGGGAGGAAAAACAAAGTAAGTTAAGTTGTCCCTCCCCCTGAAAATTAGTCCGGTTCATCCAGACTGGAAAAAAAGAAAACATTTTCTAACATTACTAATCTGACATTCTCAACCTTTAAATACTTATGCTTCCTAAAGATTAGATTCCAGAAAAATTTATTTATTTTATTATCTGTTAATTTTACTAGAAAGCGAAGAACAAATTAATGTTATGGCCACTCTACTCTGAATATTCCTGAAGAATAGAGACATTCTTTGAACTCTTCAGGTACAACGGCAAAACAAAAACGAAAACAGCAAGAATCACGTTGCTCATGAACACAACTGCAGAACATACACCAATCCTACTTCGAGAGATCATGTATGTAAAACATGTAAGTGCACTGATGCTTAATGAATTTGTCATATAACTACACACCACACTACTCTGTCCCTCGGACATTACTTTGTAAAGAAATCCATTCACAGACACATCCATCTAACGTTACTTGAGTAAAAAACAAAACAAAACAAAAAACCAACCAAACAAAAAACTTTTGCGAAGAGATGAAAGTCGTTCCAGATGACATGTCATGCAGTCTAGCCATTCCTCATCTTCTTTCTGCTGTCACTTATGACAGATGACATTCATATGTGGGATATAGTCCCATGTGCCAGTAATCATAACTCCCTGCAGACTAGCTATAATTCCACCCCTTTTCTCTTCCACTTAAAAGAGCAATCAGAATGCAAATGAGCAAGAGTGCTGTCAGTAAAGACCCCACCTTCAATCTGCGCGATTTCACCCCCAGAGAGAGAGAGAGAAGAAAGGAAGGAAGGAAGGAAGAGAAAGAGAGAGAGAAAGAGAAAAAGAAACCAAATTAACTTTGTTATTAGAACAAGTAGGAAAGCTGCCCTGTAATATATGGGATGAATGGCAAAACGCCGACAAGTCACAGCACCAGTGCCTGTTTTACAGTTACATTAAAGAAAACGAAAGTGAGCATCGAGCCTGGAATGTGTTAGAAATAAATAAGGTAAATCTGGCTCACCAAATACAACCAGGCAGTATGTCAGATAGACATTCTGACTTACCATGACTATTTATGATTTCTCATGAGAATTTGGGTTTGGACTTGTGTGACTTCAAGGTCATATATCAGGGTTCAGAACCCAGCACATGCACCTGGGTCGTGGC